ATCTTAGAGACCCCAGCCAAGAGTGTCCTTAGAGGTTGAGAGTTCCAAGGAGTGGTTTACTCCTCTGGGTTTTACTCACCACCAGGAGACCCAGAGGTAGTCTAGGGGAAGCCTCAGAACAATTGTGAAAGCATTACTAGAATAACTCTGTCTAAATAGTGCTTGTTAAAAATGAGGCGTATTTGGTCTCCAGTGTGGCATCTCTCAAGCTCTTTGCTAGAAGATTTGTGAGATACAGAATAAGAGAGAACCTATCAATCTTGTTGATAACTGTTTCCCCACCACCTAGCACATAGTAGATAATTAATAAATATTAAGTAAATTATGAGTGACCATTTTTTAATTTTCGGGGCACCATTACTTGGAAATAAGGGAATTGAGGTAGATTTGAGAAGTGGACATAAACAGGAAAATTGAATTTAATATCACTTATGTCTTTTTGTTCCTCACTGGAGAAATGCAAGTACCTTAACCTGGTATGTGAGGCCCCAGTGGTCTGTCCCTACCTGTCCTAGAGCCACAACTCATACAACACTCCCTTGCACTGTCAGCCTCCTTAACAGTCCTCTCACTCTAGGCTTCTACACAGCGTTTTCCTCTCCCTTTACCTCTAAATTCTGTGCTTTCTTCACATCTGCGCCCCACCATCAGTCTTAGGGAAGCCTACTTTAATCTTCCTGACAAGGCCCATTTTCCCTGATATACCATACACCCTCCTTTGTGGGACTTTTCTCAACAATGGTTTTACATTTATTTCTTTGGTTATTTTCTTTTTTCTTTTCTTTTTTTTTTTTTGGAGAGGTTTTTGCTATAGGGCGCATGCGCTCGCCAGACAGACAGAGAGAGACAGAGAGATAGAAAGCAGGAAATCACCCCCCAGGGGGGATGGCCACGCCGCAATCCCTTCTCCTCCATTCTCCTCTTGGGATCTTGGGCACGCACGCACACGCGCCCGGCGTGAGTTTAAGCCACCGGGTCCGGGACTCGAACTGCGGTCGACTACGTGGGAGTCCAGCGACATAGCCATTACGCTAACTGCTGGTCCCTTTCTTTGGTTATTTTAATACTGTCTGTCTGCCTTATTTAACAGTAAACTCCATTAAGGCAAGGGTTGGGTCAGTCTAATAGCTGGTATATATGAGTTGCTCCATAAATATTTGATGAATGGATAAATGAGTGGGAGTGAGAGTGGGAGTAAACTAAGCGTGATAGTTTTCATAATCTAGGCCCATAGGGGCTTCCAACCCCACAAGCCCCTCAGCTTGTCTGCAATGGTGAATGTGAATCCAGTCATGTTTGCATGGTTTCTAAGGCAAGCACCTACAGCTTTTGATAGATTAAAAACCTTTGAGCCAGTTCCATGGCCTGGTGGTTAAGGCAGCTGGATCCCTCATGGCTGCCTGTGGTGTCAAGATCCCCATAGGGTGGAGGATGCTTTCTCTTTTCCCTCTCTGTTTCTCTGTCTCTTTATTGTAAGTTTATGTGCCTTCTAGCAAAAAAAAAAAAAAGAGAGAGAGAGAGAGAATCTTTGCATGGTTATATTTATATGAAGAGAGGGAGGAGAAAAGGAAAAGGGGATGGAAATTGAGAAAAACATATGAGGATAAAAGGGAACTCTGATAAAGAGAAGAATAGAACTAAGATGAATGAGGAGAAAGAATATGAGAGAAAATGATGAAGTAGGGACAGATATTCTGGTTGAATTCTCCTGACTTAGTGAGGCTGGCTCAGCGTGAAACCTTGCATTATGCACTCTTAGACGTTTGATGAATAGCCAGGTTTGATTTTTCACTCTTGTATCTAAAAGAAGAGTGTACTCCTTACAATCCAGGGTAAGTGGAATGAAATGGTTGAGATGGAGCCATTTGCTAGCACAGAGGAAGAGAGGTTACACATAGCAATAGAACGAAAGAAGACTATAGAACATTTCTGGGAGGAGGGTAACATTTCAATCTGCCCTTAACACATGGACCTGAAGAAGAAGAGGCGATGAGGTAGGTAAGCACACAAATGAGAGAGGAGTATAAGAAAAGCCACTGGCACAGGAAGCTAAGGTTTGTTTTGGACAGGGTATTAGACTCTTGGTAACAACCTCTGCAAAGCATCAGAGCTGGGAGATACCTCCTTTGGCCAGTCATGAAAACAAATCAGGTGGCACATGGAAGTACCAGGTAAGACAGCCTTACTGAGGCCAGAACAGATGAGGGGAAGGAACTCCCCAGACTGAAAGAAGGTTGAGAGTGAGTAATTAATTACATAGCCTTCTTAAGACTCTGGCAGAAAAGAACTTATCATTTGCCTATAAATGCTCCTCCTGCAGATGTTCTACAAGTCCTGAAATGTGTTTGCTCTCGCTGCTTCAGAAAGGTTGTACTCATATAATCCACTGGGATGCTGGTTTCTAGATACTGTCTTGTTGTTGTTGTACAATCCAGGGCTTGTGAGTTCAGAGCATATTTACATTATGTAAATGTGAAATCTGTATGAGGGGTATATCTGTGTTTGTTCATCAAGATTCCATCTTGACTAGGTCAAGAGTTACAGAAAAAAGCTGGAGGGTGGTGCAGTGGTCAAACACAATGCTCTGCAGGGATAAGCCACATAGGAAGGTTCCAGTTGTGTCTGGAGACCTCCCTGAACACACTGGACACATGTGTGCCCATGATCTAGCGCTGTCTAAACCTGGCGGTGGATCATGGCATCAAGATCCTATTAGGGTAACCTTTCTTTCTCTTGCCTTTTTTTTTTTTTTCTCTTTCTTGCTCATGGGATAAATAAATGAGTTGGGAGGTTACCAAAAGCTTCTATTGTGGGAGCATAGAAAGCTAAAGAGAGGTTGCTAGGCCTTGAGACTTGCTGGATGGAAGATGCCGTCTGCCTATTCCTGTTATTAAATATTCACCTGGCATTGTTAAATCTCAGGGCCTCTGTTTCCCCACTTATAAAAAAGCTCTAACTTTCCCAGCTCCTCCAAGGAGTTAGGTGTCCTCAGCAGCTTGGCACATGATACTGTATATAAAACCCCAAAATATGGTGACCTAGACCTGGGCTGGAGGGGAGAGTGAGCTGGGGTTTCGGAGGACAAGGGCAGATTACGGCTCACCTCTGGCCTCCAGAGCATGCATCAACCAGCATCTCTTGGGAAAGCCGACCACGGCTGGGCTTACCCCGGTGACACCCATTGTCCCAGAAGAGACATAGCTCTGAGCTTGACATTCCTCCCAGACTGATTTGCTATGGAGGCAGCTCTGGAGTTCAGCAAAGGGTTTGGATAGGTTCCAGACAGACTCAGAGAGCCTGGCCTGGGAGGCTCCCAAAGGGACATGATCACCCACTGGTGTGAGCCTAGTTTTTCATTCTTGTTTTATTGACTGAGAGCAGAATATTTACCACTTTGGGCCAGCAGGTGGTGACCAGCTCTGGGTTAAGGCACTAGGTCTCACATGACCAACTCTATAGGTTAATTCTAGACCCTACAGTTTGAAAAACATGTCAGGTGCATATGCATACATGCCCAAAATCCCAAGCAGAGAATAGAGGAAAAGGGGTTGTGGTGTTGCCATTCTTCGTTGCGGGGGTGGGTAGGGGGGAGTCTCACTTTCTTTCTCTTTCCAGTGAGCACACATGCCCTATAACAGAAAAAGTTTAAAAAAAGAAAAAAAAGAAAAAAGACAGGCAGGTCTGATAGTCAACAAGACTGCAAAGCAGGTAAATTCACACTTTAGTATCTCCTTGTGCACCCGCATTTCCCACTTGAAGGTTACTTCTCTTAGCTGTCTTTCTTTCTCTCCTCTCTTGAGCTACCTAGTTGTACTCAAGAGCTCCAGAACTTCCTAGAGTTTTTCCCAGAGCTGAGGTGCCCAAAGTGAATCCAATTATCAGAGTCATAATCTGGGGATAAAAACAATAACTTTTTATTGTTCTTCCAGAACAAAAACTTCCTTTGACAACTGAAGTCTTCTGGGCCCTTACTTGGGTACCATGAGAAGGTGGCAAGCAGAAGGGAGATAGCTGCAGTGCTGCCTACAGAATTCTTTCAGTAGAAATCTTTCTCCAGTCAGATTTCACAGGAGTACCGTTTACCGTTTGATTATGCCTGAGACTGCACAGTTATTTCACCCAAAGCTCCAACGGCAGACTGCTCAGTCTCAGGGCTACCTGGAGCTGGCTGAGGGAATGTGAGGCCACCACTACAAAGAGGGAAGCGAGTTTGGGGGTGGCTGGTAACGTCTGCCTGGGAGACTGCGGGGCATGCACTTTGCCACCAGGTGTTTATCTCCACCGTGGGTACCCACTGTCTCTCCAGCCTGAGGAAAGTTCTCGACAGCTTTGCTGTTCAAAGTGGGGCCCTCCAAACAGCAGCGTCAGCATGACATGGGAGCACACTAGAAACAGACCGTCAGGGGCCAGCCCCGTAGCCTCGTAGTCATGGGTGACCACAGTTTGAATCGCAGCCTGCTGGCTCGGAAAGCACAGTGGGTACATGTGTGTATGCCCCAAATCCAGGCAGAATGGAGAAATGGAGGGGAAGACATTGTGACATCACTGCCCTCCACTGAGGGCTGCTTTCACCCTCTCCTCTCTGTCTCTGTATCTCTCTGGCAATTAAAAAAAAAAAAAGGAGAAAAGAAAGGAAAAGAAAAGAGGAGAAGAGAAAAAAAGAGGAAAAAAAATATTAGATCCTCAGCCCCCAACCCTTCCCTGGTCTTAGTCAGATTCTGTATCTCAACAAGATTCACAGGGAAGTCACACATACATTGGGTCTAGTGGGTCTTCCTGCCAGTTGTCACCCCTGAGTGTCCTCACCAGAGAAGAGAAAGCTCTGTGGGCCTGGGTTCTCCTCTCGGTGACCAGCCATCCCGTCTTACAACAAATCAGGGCCAGGGCTGGCACCATGTGCATGTGGGGCATGCCTCCCACCCAGGTGCTCAGGAGGCTCCATAACGGCTGCTGTGTGCTGACATGTCTCTGTCTCACTGCGCGGTCCCTTCTGTCCCCAGGCAATCTATAAGATGGTTTCCTCCGTGATGAAAATGCCAGAAGATGAATCGACCCCAGAGAAAAGGACAGAAAAGATCTTCCGCCAGATGGATACCAACAGAGACGGTAGGAGGCCAGGCCCTCTGTTCTGCCTGGGTGGGGCCGCCATAGGCTCAGGCAGGGGCTCTGCCCCGGGAAACTGCTGCTCCAGTACAGACACTGGCCTCAGGGACCTGGCTCGAGGCCCCGTGTGAGACTGGCTCATCCTGCCTGTTCCCTGGCTGGGCAGGAAGGAAGAGGACCAGGGAGAGTTGATCCTAGTTTGGGGAAAATGCCTCATAAGGGAACTTGAAAAATTTGTGGGGGAAAAAATTGAATTAAAGTACCAGTTAGTTTCGGTGAAACCAAAAAAAAAATTTTGAGGGGGAAATCAATGCATAGCTTTTTCTATTACTCGTTTTCCATGAACTTTTTGAAGACCTTTCACACTTCTTTATTCCATTTTAATTTTACTCATTATTATTATTATTATTATTGTAATTTGACCAGAGAGATACAGAGAGAGAGAAAGAGAGAGAGAGAGAGCGTGCAATGGAGAGAGAAAGCAAGCCTCCAGGTCCGGGACTCAAACCGTAGTAGCCCATGTGGGAGTCCAGTGCCTTAACCATCACTCCACCTGCCAGCCCTGACCCTTCACACTCCTAGGCCATTCTATTCTCCTAGTTTATCTTCTACTCCCAAGAAATTAGGATGTGCCTTGTGGAGCAGAATGGAAGGACCTACGAAACCACTGTTAGCACACACCAGTCCTCAGCACGTAAGCCCAGGCCACAGCAGGCTGGATCCCCACGAGCCAATGAAACAGAATGGGGCAGGAACTCGCTGCTCCACCCAGACCCTAGCAGCTGTCACCCGGCCTGTCCACTCTCAGGTATTAGGGGTGGAGGCAGGGAGGGTTTAGGTGACTGGCAGGCTCCCCCTTCCCTGCCTAAATCAGAGCGTCTAGACCCCACTTGGATTCTCCTATTTGAAACCCAAACCAAAGTGAAAAGGAGGGTTGGATTTCAAACTCAAGAACAGAAGGATTTTAGATGTTGGGTTGCCAGCTAGAATGCACAAGGCCCAATTATCTTGGAATTTTGGACAAGCAAGTGATATTTTTAGTGTATGTATGCCTTGAGCAGTATTTGAGACATACTTACATACAAGTAATTGTTTGCAATTTATCTGAATTCAGATTTACCTAGGTGTCCAGTATTTTATTTACCATTTCCAGCAACCCTGTTTAGATGTGACACCCACATTTAAACCGGTAAGCCCTGGGCCAGTCCATAATAATCTGAGTAGCTCTTGCTACTATGCCCAGCTGGCCTGTCCTGCTCAGAGCGCCCAGCAGTTCTTGTCAGCTGTGTGTAAGTGCGCGGTATATCCCATCTGGTGTTGATGCCTAGAAGTCTCTAGTGGAGCGAGCCTCTCTGTCCCGCTGCCCCGAGGCACCAGCTGCCTGAGGATCCGAGTGTGTGGGGTGCAGGCCAGTGCATTTGCTTTGTCTCCTACACAAAGGTGCCACTACACCGTCTTTCCCCTTGTGCACCTGATTCACAGCCAAGTTTGTTTTGCAAAGACTAAACAAATACCAGATTACTTTAATAGTTAGTGAACTTGCTGATATTAAACTGCTAGTGTCTAGGGAGTACAATGGGTTTCTGCTCTGCCCTCGGTTCAGCCACTTCCTTAGAAGAGGTCTAAAGGATGGGCGAGATCAAGACACCAAGGGATAGAGCTCTGCGAGTCGGTCATGGGCAGTGAATTAGGATCTGTCCACTGGGACTCTGCTCGGGAAGACTCGGAGCTCCGGCTGGGTTAGCATTCCCAGCACGCAGCTTGCTGCTGAACGTCCTGTGCTTTCCCAGGGGACAACCTTGTATTAAAAAAGAAAAGAAAGAAAAGAAAAAGGGCTGGGCAATAGAGGCAAAGGGGAAGAGAGGCTTTAGGTTCAAAAGTGGTCAGAGGACTCTGCCCATCCTGGAGACCAGTTAGGCAGAGCAAACCTCAAACAGAGTCTCCTGCCATGAGCTTCCTCTTGCACGAAGGTCTTTGCATGTACCCCTCAACCTGTGACTTGAAGAGAAAAGCCCGGGCCCACAGGCAGCTTAGGCCAGCAGCCAGCTCTGAAGCACACAGACTGATTGACTATTAATTGATTACATCGTATTACATCCTATCTCCCCTAAGTGCTTGGTTCACAGCAAGTAGTTTAACCTGAGAGAGCCAGACGTGCATGCTGAGTACAGTTTCTCCCCACCCTTCCAGCTTGCAGGGCCCAGAGCCTCACTTCGAGAGACTTCCTAGTGTCCCCCCATCTTCCTGTCCTTGTGCCAGGCTTTCAGAGCCTGCAGAAGTCATCACCACGTCAAACACTGCATGAGCAGGCGGCATGGCTCGTGGGAAAGGGCCAGGACACAAAGCTTAGAGGAACCCTGCTCCATTGTTATCAGCCCATCAATCCATCAGTCCATCCTCACCCTTCTCCTTCAGGTAGATAAAATGGGTTCAGTGGGACCGGCAGTTGGTGTAATGGCTATGTTGCTGAACTCCCATGTAGTTGACTGCGGTTCAAATCCCGGACCCGGTGGCTTAAACTCACGCCGGGCATGTGTGCATGCGTGCCCAAGATCCTGAGAGGAGAATGGAGGAGAAGGGAGTGTAGCGTGGCCATCCCCCCGGGGGTGATTTCTCGTTTTCTATCTCTCTTGTCTTTCTGGCGAGTGCACGCGCTCTATAGCAAAAGCCTCTAAAAAAAAAAAAAAGATAAAATGGGTTCAGTTAGACAAGAGGGAAGTTCTGGCAGGGAGGGAGTTCTGGCTGAGCGAAAGACATATTTTTAATATGTGTTGAGACAGGGTTCCAAGAAATAGCACCCCCCCACCCCAGGCTGGAATAAGTCAGGCAATCAAAGAGCAAAAATTGAGGCCAGAGTCTGGAGCTACATTGAGGAAGTAGCTTTGAGTGAGAGTCCAGGAGCCTGCCCAGCAGTGCAGTCCTGCAGCCTGTGGGAAAAAGCCCTCCCTGGGGAGCTCCTTCTAACAGGAAGGACAAAGCTGAGCAAAAATGCCTCCCAAATCAAGTGAGTCACTTCCCTCCTGGCAGGCAGGGTAGGCACTTGCCGAAGCACCTGGAATGCGGAAAAAGCTTCCCCCCTTCAGTCCCTGACAATGGTGACAGAAAGGCCTTCCTGGAGAAGGATTCAAAACACTCCAGCAGAAAGGAAGGGAACACCGGGCAGGAGTAGGCTCCTGGCTGGGAGTCTCCCTCCTGCAGCCCAAGGGGGATCACCCTCTGCCCGACAGCTACCCCTTTCTTCTCTGACTTGTGATGGAAGTGTAGCCGTCTTTACCTGTGGTCCCCAAAATGACGCTTATGTTCAGCACTCCCCCAACTCTGTGGGGACTTTCTGCCCACAAGCAAGGGGAGGAACCTCGAGGCAGATCATCTTTTTTTTTTTTTTTTGGAGATTTTTGGTATGGGGTTCCTGTGCTTGCTAGAGAACAGCGAGACAGAAAGCCAGAAATCACCCACACACACTGCAATCCCTTTTCATCCATTCTCCTCTTGGGGTATTGGACATGCATGCATACTCACGCCCAGCATGTTTCAAGCCACCTTGTCAAGGACTCAAACTGTGGGCGACTACTTGGGAGTCCAGTGACCTAACCGTTATGCCACCTGCTGGTCCCTTGAAGTGGCTCTTAGTACAGGGGCTGGAGGCTCCCAGTCACGTGGCAGGAGGAGCAGGGCTCCTTCCGGGTGCCCACCAAAGAAAGAGAGGCCAGGGCAGGGACGGAGTCAGGGCTCTCAGAAAGCAGCTGGGGTGGATGGGTGCACGGCCGTGCTAGAGCTGGCCATGCCAGTGAACGCACAGCAGGGTCCCTGCCTCGTGGATCTCAGGCTGGGAAGAGTCTACCCGTCTCCTGGGGAAGTGAGTGCTGGGTAACAGCAGCTGGGGCCACGGGCAGAAGGGGAGCGGTCATTGCCACCCCTCTCGGAGAGAAGGGCTGAAGCTCAGGCAGGGCCACCAGCCGCCACTCACTCGTCCTCTTGCTTCCTAGGAAAACTCTCCCTGGAGGAGTTCATCCGAGGAGCCAAAAGCGACCCGTCCATAGTGCGCCTCCTGCAGTGCGACCCGAGCAGCGCAGGCCAGTTCTGAGCAGCACCCAGGAATCTCGAGTTGCTTGTGTTCCCTTCTGATTCTTTTTAACAAAAAAAAATTTTTTTTTCTTTTTGCCAAACAATATTGGTGGCGATGCTGCCCCCTGTGTGGTCAGATGTGCCTCCCTCGTGCCGCCTTCAGCTTCTTCTGTCGTGGACGCTTCGTGGGAATGCCCAGAGCCCCGTATGCTTGTGGAGAGCATGGACCAACTTCGTGGTGTTTTGTTCGATGATTTGTAATCGTTATTATTATTTCTTGATTCTGTGTTCTCTGTTCTAAAACTTAAGACTCGGGGAGAGGGATAAAAGAAGGGAACTCCATCCTGCCCAGTGATTCTGCAAGCTCCCAGGGCCTCTGTTTGAAAGCCTAGACACACACACCCTGCCCCCCACTGCCCGCTGTCGCACAGCCTTGGAGAGATGGACGGCCCCAGAGGCTGGTTTCCCGAGAACAAGTTTCCCTCTGGGGCCAGGCCGTTAAAGGGAGCTGGGACATTCCCCCGTGGAAGCCCAGTCCACCCTCTTCCCGGGTAGGCTGCAGTTTCTAAGCTGTGAACATGTCAAGGTAAATTAAGAGAGGAGAGGGAAAAGCCAGCTCAGCTATTTTTTCACAGGTTTACACTAGTTGAGCTAATATGAGTGTCTTTGGAAATTGAACACGAATGGTAATGTATTCCAAAACTGACCCATCTTGTTGCCTATTGTGATTAGGAAAAAAAAAAAGAAAAAAAGACTGCTGTATATAAAATATTGGGTATTGCAGACCAAATTAAGTGTTTTGCCTTGTTTAAATGAAATGCATGTTTAGTGAGCACTAATACAATCTTATTACAGAAGACTGTTTTTAGTAGCTTATGTGAAGTAAGCCAGCTGTAATGAATGTCTGTGTCTTGTTTCAAAGTCCTGTCTGTCTTTGCACAAATGTACAAGTATATTTTATATATTCCATAAAAGTACAAAGTAACCATGACTAGGGTCCAACCTGACCAATGCGTTTCCAGAGCCACGGCATCTGGAGAACAGTAGTAGGTCAGACTTGCATGGGGCATGGAGTTGGAGCTCCGGAGGTTACCATTTAAGAGACAGGCACACTTGGCTTGCCCACCTTGCCCCATGCTCACTGGCAACATCGAAGGCATGGTGTTCTGAGCAGATCAATAGTCCATGGAGTCAAAAATGTATCAATTCTTCAGACTTTGCATGTTTAATCGATGTGCCTGTTAGGGAGCCAGGGCTGGAATGTTCACTTTCCCACGTCCCAGTGGCCCCTCATGGAGTGACATCGCAGTGGCCCCTGATGGAGTGAGAGGACGGACAGGCATCTAACTCATTGTAAAGGAGCTGTGGGCACGTGCAATTTGCCCAAGGCCCACTATGGGGAGTCCAAAAGTATTTTCCAGCACTGCATTCCTTGAATAAGGACTCTTACTTCCAGAAGTCACAGTGCAAATTTGAGCTGCTGTTTGGTGTGGTGACCTCGTACACACTAATTTGAATTGAAGCTGAAGAGTAAAACTTGCTGGCCCTAGGCAGTCATGTTCTCTCACGTAGTTGGCATGGGAAGCCCAGACACACAAGGGTCTAGGTAGGGAATCTGCCCCTAGACAAGGCAGAGAGGTCCCTAGGAGGTTGATCTCTGCCACACTGCTTCCTGCAGAACAGGAACCACAGGTGATAAACAGAGCCACGAGGAAATGTTGCCAAGGCCACTCTAACCTCCAGGTTACTGTGTGTAACCGAGTCCATTCCAGCTGGTAGCAGTCCAAATGGGTGTGGCAGACCAGGTGAGCTACCTTTGCAGGGTGAAAATTTGAGACCTGGACCCAATAATTTTACTCTTCCTTTGAATGTCAGTTCCTCATAGTGGTTCTACACCAAAACTTGTCAAATTACTCCATGGGTCAAGTGGCAAAGTCTGTTTTTGAAATACAGAGAATTAACATTAGATGTGGACTGAGCAGAGACCCAGTGTGCTCTATCCATCGGTTGTGTTCAGCAGTTGCACCCCACTTTTTCCTGCTCTGATTGAAGACCAATTTCTCCTTTTAATTGTCTCTTTACGGGTAGAATCAGTTAATGTTTGGAGACATCTACCTGGGCTCTGCCTTTGGACGTGACATCTTATGGAGCCAAAGCCACTCTGCTGCCTAGAACTAGGGCTGGGATGAGGAACAGAGGTGTTCAGGGTTTAGGAAAGAAAAGAGCCAGACACATGGCAGATGAACAACTCTCAGGATGTGTGGAGATAATCTTTGGCCGGGCCTGCCACTGACCCTGTCTGTATTTTCTCGAGGGCTGCTTCTTTTCACCTCCCCCTTTCCAGAGGGCCTTAGTAATGTCTGATCCAATGCACTCACGTCTGACCAGGGGACTCCACAGCACCCAGAATGCTGAATGCCTAACGGTTTATATCACGCCTATGCTGGGCCATTTGTTGTCATGAATGTGTACAGAGACCTCTGGAAATGCAGTCTGTTCTGCTTCAGATACAGCCAGCCTGCGATGCTGAAGGGACTGGAATAAAGTGGCTTACGACCTGATGGATAAGACCGAGTGCTCGACTGTCCATACTTCATTTGGGGGGTGGGGGTGGGGCTGAGGGTGCTATCTCATCCCATCACTATGCCCCGGGAAGACTGTCCACAAATGTATTTAATAACACATATTTATAAATACCAAATGAAGTGGCCCCTATATCAGTTGATTTTGTGTAGTTCTTGCCTGGTATTAAAGCATGCTTATTGTTTAATATGATTGTCTGGAACATGAGATTTTCATGCCTCGACTGCTGTTCCTAGTGAATCTGTGCCTTAGTGAGGCTCCAGGTTCTGAGATTGGCTTCCTTCAGAGTATGATTTCTGTCCTAGAGAGACACAAAGAAACCCAGGGGGCATGGGAGAGGCTGCGGAGCCCAAAGCTCTCTCTAGAAGCATTCTTCGTCTACGTATGGGCTTCCTTCCTTCCCATCATGGCCTTCCCTTTCTTCCCACTTCCTCTCCTTCTCCAAACTGCAGTCCAAACATCAGGCACAGTGGAAGGAGGAACTGAGGCAGCCTCCTGTTTAGTGGGATCTGGGTAAGCCTAAAATAAGTTAGTAGCCTTTTCTCTTCTCTCAGTCTCGCAGTCTGAAAAGACTGAAGGGAAGTGATGGCACGCTGCACGGCCTGCACACGCTAAGTGAATGAGAACTTCAGTCAAGGTCTTGGTGTTGCTGTCATTGGCCTTGCTCCAGCACAGGCCAAGAATGCAGGGAAAGGGGTGACTAATTGCAACTTGAGTGTCAGCCACAGTAGTAGCTCATGGGCCAGCTCCACATGTGGGAATTGAGTTGGCCTAGAGGGGTGTCTTTTCCTGCTGCACACAGTTGGCCCCTAGGGACCAGCAACGCACTGACACCCATGAGTGCTGAGCACCAGGTCATCCCTGGTGATTATGGAGAGAAGGTGGCTGGGAGCTCCAACCTGATCAGAAGCCTGCATACTTGAAACTGGGCAACTTCCAACAGATTTCCAAACCTGAGGCTCCTCTTTCCAGAGCATTGTTTCAGTGGTTCAACCCACCTGAGTCCTCGCACAGCCTAGTCTATGCATGGAAGGCCCCTACCTGCTGAGGAGGGATCCGAGGGCTCTCCGTAAGATACCAAGGAGAGCATAAGAACTGCCTTTGGAAGAAATGGAGATGCTTCAGCATGCCTCTTGTCTTTGTCAGGCGTATAACTTAGAACTTTCTGAACATTTTCTAGGTGTTCTGTTTTGTTTTATGTTTTGAGAGATTTTTGCTATAAGGCATGTGCACTCCCTGGAGAGACAGAGACAGAAAGTTTCTCAGTTTCAAGCTGCCAGATCCAGGACTCGAACCAGAGTTGGCTACGTGAGAGTCCAGCACCTTAACCACTATACCACCTACTGGCCTCCATTTTCTGGGTTTTGAAGTGCTGAAGAAACAAGGAACAAAAGCACTCAGTCTATATTTCCCATCAATAGAGCATCAGTCAAATCCACCTACAATAGATTGTTGCATGGAGAAGATGTTTAGGCCAATAGGGTCACTGATGATCTGTTTATTTCAAGAAAGCTTCTCTACAATCGAATGCTGGCCACATCACCAGGACTTAGGTGCTAGGCATTTGCTGTACTGGGAGTTAACATGCAATGCATGGTCCCAGGCATCCTGGGAGACGCAAATGATGACTATCCTGAGAACATTACAATGTAGACCTACCTCACTGGGGCAGCTCAGAGGGACCAGGGCCTCAAGGAGGCTGATTTCGCAATTTCTTTTCATTGCATTATTCCAAGGAATGGCTGGCGTTGTTTCAATAAGAAATGGTGAAAATGCTTCAAAATGCAGGGCAGCAGTGCCTGCCAAGCCCAACTCTTATTAAATACTCACCTTTGCCACCAGTAGACTAGTCTATGAAGATAGATGGACAGACTCTGTCTCTCTATGAAGAAAGATGTCTTTCCAGCACACGCATTTAATCACCCATTGGGCTCACCCAAATGTTCAAGAGGTAACACAGAGCCAAGCATGAGAGCTTGGAGGTGGAGGACAGGAAGGGGAGGCAGGGAGGTTTTATTAGCAAAGAGGCAGATAAGCGAGCTTGCAGCCCAGCTGGTAATGCCTGCCCAGGACCTTGACCACAATTAAACAGTAGCTTACACCTGTACCCTGTGGCAGAGCAGAAATCAAGTTGGTTTGTGGGTGATGCGTGAGTGCCCAGGAGAGACTAGAATTCTTCCAGGTAACAGATTTCTTCCCAGTCAGGCAAGGGCCCAACATCCGCCTCACAGAAAGCACCAGATCCAGTCGTTTTACTCTTATGTTATGAATATTTATTTTTTTCTTCTTAAAAATGTACAAAAAATAAAATAACTGTATTTATAGTTTATAGATTCCCCTTCTCCCATTTACAAAACTATTAAGTTACATTTGCCTTTTACTTTCTTTTACCGTGAGAGCAAATTGTACACACATCTAACTCCCTTGCTTATCTTTAAGAAAGGGCCGTTCATAGAATTTGGCACAAACCCTCTGTTTCTGTTGCATTTCATGATTTTAAATAAGAAGGAAAATAAATGATTCATTTCATGCTTTCTAAGTTTCTGGGCTGGGACGTGCCTTAGTCTTTTAGAAGCCAATTCCAAGATGACATCTGACTGCATTTTCTGTTGGTCCCAATTTCCAAACACCTGTAAAGTCTGGATAATTGGGATTTATGAGAAAAATACTTGCTTCGCGTGTCCCTCATCTTCCATGGATTGGAAAATAATGTTAAAAGCTTATTTGCATGTGATTCATTTAAGGGACAAAAAAGAAGACGAGTTCTGTCTTTCTGGAGTGTTTGTTCAGGGAATCTCGCTCACTCCCGCGCTGCTACCACGCAGTGACACCATCAGAGCTACGCCATGGGCACGCTGAGAAGGCAAGAGGGACAGACCGGTGAGCCGGGACGCCGCGCCACCCTGCAGCGGTGCTGGCCTCACAGCCTTTGTTCGGACCATTGTCACCGTAGGGATTGCTCAGCGGCTTAGGACACACACAGGCATTTCCGATTTGTCTTCTCCCTTTGGGCAGGATCAGCGGTTTTCCAAGAGGCTGGAGAGAGAAAGATTGGTAGCCCGTGTCTGGCTGCCAAAAATCTGGCTGCCAAAAATTTTGTCTTTTTCCTACTCTGGAGTCCTAGGCCCTGACCTCCTTGTAATTCTCTTCCACCTGCCAATGGAGTTTGAAGTTATTCATTCCTGACCCAAGGAGGTGGGACGTGCACAGGGTGTCGTGTTTCCTGCACTGGTTGTGTCTGTGTCAGAGCGGTCACGGCAGTGCCCAGAACAGTCCCCGAGCTGCTAGTCCAGAGCATGGCAGTCACAGTGAGGCAGAGGGGACAACCTGGAGTACAGTCGGGTGGAGGATGCACACTTTGGCACCACAGGAGCACGCCCAGAGGACACGCAGCGAGGTGCCCCCTTAGCCACGCTCCACTCAGTCCCTCTGTACCCTTCAGGACAAACGGCCGGGCTGTTTCTGGATCTGGAAGCCCTTCCATCCTGCTCCGGGTATCAGGGACAGATGCGGTGGGATGACAGGAAGCCCAGAGAGAGCAGGAGCCTCCAGGGAAGACATCAAAGTGCTTTACAGACAAATCTGGACCTTTACATAGGACTTGTCTTAGATCCGAGGCCTCGGGGAGGGTTGTGTTTGGTGACCAAAAAGCTAGTGCTTCAGCCCACAAGGGGGAGCACAACCCCCAAACCACCCGCCTGTCCCCTCATAGGGAACGGTGGCTCACAAGGCTTCGGCGTTGTGTACTGCTGAGGGTAGCAGGAGGGACCTTCGCTCTCCCAGGTGGCTCTGAGGCTGACATCAGAATTGCCACGCTCATGGGACATTCTCACTTTCTCAAAACCAGCACCCAGGCGCAGAGGCAGCGAATCCCTTCCTTTCGGGTTGAGGCGCAGAGGAAGCCCTGGCCGTGACTTCAGAGCTGGGCTGTGGGTTCAGCTCTCAGAACCGCGGTTGGGCTTTTAAAGGGGCCACTGGGAAGGAGGGACATGCTGGCAACCCGTGAGGCACTACTGCACAGGATCCAGGTTCTTGTGACAGCCGCAGTGTCCTGCAGCAGGCCCAGCCCTGGGGCCCTGGTGGAAACCCCCCTGCAGTGTCTCTCTGGAGCACTCAGGCAGTGCAGGGGCCAAAGCTGGAAGCCAAGCTGGACCTTTCCCCCAGGCAGCTCCAAAGAGGAGCCAAGCAAAACGAATCCTCATGAGATTAATGTGGTGGCCTTGAGTGGGAGTGGTGCCCCTGGTGAGGGAGAGGGGACAGGAATGTGTCCTCAGGTGTAATCACTGGAGCCACCTGACACTCCAAAAGCCACTTGCCTGGCCCAGTCTCCTGAACAGGCACAGAGGCAGAGACCTCTCGTAGAAAGCAGTCTCCAGGTATTGCCTCCCCAGGGCCAGCGGCAGTAAACATGGCCACGTACCACAGGTAAAATATATTATTGCAATATTATAAACACTATGTACACGACATCTGGGCATACTTCCTGTGTCCCTTACTAATTACACGGTGGCTGAATATTTTCCTGTACAAATGCCTGGTGGCTACTCGCTGGGAACCCCTGGAGGTACTTAGGCAGATGACCTTCTCCATGCAACCTGCAGGTTTCTGACCACTGAGGGGTGCCGCCTCTCACCCCACTGGTGTCTACTACACCAAGAAGTAGCTCATTTGCCGGCCTCCTTGGAGATGTGGAAAGGTGAGGAAGAAGGGATGAGAATGTTCGACTCTCCAGGATGAGTGGATTGACTGTTTCCTTTGAAGGGGGAGTTCTGGACGGACTCATCTGGAGCCAGCAGTGACCTGCAGAGTCCTCAGGGGCCTGGTCCCTCAGCTCCAGAGAAAAATGGGCAATAAATAAGGGCCTAACAAGCCCAGGGCCCCTTTCTGAGGGATGCAGGGTCCATGGTAGGCACTGGCGATGGGCCAAACGTGTTGACGATCACCAGGGTCGCATGCCTCTCCCTGCTCCCAGCGCAGTCTTGTAACAGCAGTTGTGAGATGGGTGAGATGCGTCTCCAGGGTCCGGGGCCCAGGCCTGTCTCTCCCAGGGAGGAATGCACTGAGGACTCCTGCCAAGGGGACAGCAGCCCAGAGCTCAGATTTCCATGAGCGTGATCTTGAAGCCTTCGACCATGCTCTCCATGTTGAGGATGAAGGTGTCCTCATTCGAGTAGTGCTCGATGATGTTGTCATCCATGTTCACCAAGATACTGCCGCAGGGGAGGGGCGGGACAGAAAACAGAGTCATGAGCGGTGCGCTGGCCGCACGGGCAAGACCAGGCCGGGGGATGATTTAGCCTTTCTTTTGCAGTAGAGGCTGCGAGGTGTGGAGGGGAGAGGAGACAGGAAGGGACAGACCCTCATTCTATTTTCTTTCCCCGGAAACCAGTTGGAGGAAACAAAGCCTCAGTTTCTTAGGAGCAATCTCATGGCTCCTTCTTAGACAGGACTTTGCAGATCACTCAACCCAGTCCTTTCACTGTATAGATTAGGAAACTGAGGCCCAGGGAAGTTAGCGGAGCCCAGAATCACAGTTAACTATTGGCAGAGCCAGGATCTAAATAGAGAGGCCCACTAACTATTTTTATGAAACCACAGTGCCTCTTCAAAGTGCATTTTAAAAAGTATTTATTATTGTCATCAGTACTGTTTTAATTTGCTATAGGGTATGTGTGCTCATGAGAGAGAGAGAGAGAGAGGGGGGGGGGGGGGGCCATGTGGGAGTCCAGCACCTTAACCACCACGCCACTTGCTGGCCCCTCAAAGTACATTTTTAAAGATGCATTTCCTCTGCCTTTAAGAGGAAGAAAAGAAACAATCACTGAAGCTAATCTTTCTTGAGCATATACAATTGTCTCAGAGACCTTGTATTTGTCCCCATGGAAACCTTGAAAATAGATGTCACTGTCGCCACTTCCAAATGAGAAAACTGAGCCTAAGGAGGCCAAGTGATTTCTCCAAGTTCATCCAGCCAGTGCATGGCCGAGCTGGGCTCTAAAACAGCTCTGCATCACACTGAAGCCCCTATTTTGCCACAAGTGGCTACTCGTCATTCCTCGTGGGTTTAGTTTTAAGGAAACCATCAACGTTTAGAATCTGCCTTCTGCATCACACTGAAGCTCCTATTTTGCCACAAGTGGCCACTCGTCATTCCTCGTGGGTTTAGTTTAAGGAAACCATCAACGTTTAGAATCTGCCCATGACTCAGAACTCCGTGAGACAATCTCACTCTTCAAAGACGGATCTTACTTTGAGAATAAAGAGCAGACTATCATGTTACAACTAGGTGTCATCAGGCAGGTTTTTTTAGCCTGTCAGAGACTAAGTATTCCTGCAAAAATAAGAACTGCCACCCAGCTTTTGAGAGTTACTATTAGGATAAAAGCATTTAGCACTGGGCCACAGAGTTCCATGAAGCAGAGGCTGTCATAGCAGCATGCACATCTGCACTGAGGGTGTCTGCTCATAGTTAGACCCTGAAATGCCAGTGACATCACACCAGCAAAGCAATGAGCCCAGCCTGCTGCACCGACATTGGAAGGAATCACATATAGTATGCATTTTAATGAGCTTTGCAACAAGGGCTTGAGTGGAAAGAGTTTCCTGTTTGATTCCCAAACAACCAGTAGGTCTCATCACTCACAAAGCCCGAGCATCCCAGATACTTGATTTCCTTTATAGAAGTCCAAAGAAGAGTCCAAAGAGCCACTCTCTGTGTGCTGTAGCTTCAGATGCTGAGTCAGCGAAGATCCTCTCCTGGCTCTAAATCCAGCTCCTGTGGCCACTGCTTCAGTAGCTGATCCACAGGATGCTCTGGGAGGGACTCGGAAGTGGTAGACAGAGTGTGGGAGCTAAGAGCCCGAGCTCTGAGGACACAGACCTGCATTCAGATGTGTTTTCTACCTTTCAAGCGTGAGACCTCGATGTAGGAGCGCTCTCTGGTTGTTTCCTCATCAATCAACTACAGAGCTAAGAGATTTTACCTCTCAGAGTAGTGAAAATAGAGGAATGCATATAAAGCCCTTAACAGAGACCCAGAATCTAATCCAAGAAATCAAAGTTACTGATCTTCATCTTTACGACACCACCTGCCAGCCCCAGTTGCCGACCAGCAATTTGCTTTCTCTCTCTCTCTCTTCCCTGTGAGCACATGTGCCCTGAAGAAAGTTAATAATAATAATTGATAAATAAAAAGAAATCGTTAAAAAAAAAAAGCTATTGTTCTTAACATGGAGAACTAATAGCGCCAATGATCACTTGAGGACATTTTGTTAATCACCTTAGAAGAATCCCCTATATTCTGAACCATTTTTGATCCTACTGTGTCTCCCTGAAGCCAGCTCCAAGAGAGACACTTGATTTTCTATAAACTCTACTCTCTCCAGAGGGATGACTGCCATTCTCCCCACATCCTCACCACCTTCAGACCCTGCAGCCCACCAGCTAACCCTGTCATCGGACTAGGGTATCTCAGGTGACATCAGGAATAGCACTGTGTCCCTCACTCCCTCTCATTAGAAATCTTCAAAATACATTGCACTTAGAAGCTGCTCCGTAACTCTTTGGGAGGGTGACACACAATTTTTATGAAAGGTGGACAAAGGAGCTAACGAAAGGCAGGCATAGTTTGTTAAAAGGCATCATGTAGACTTATCTGATTTGGAAGTCAATTCCAGCACTGTTTCTTACCCTTTTTTGCTTTTCTTGTAAAGCTTTGCTATCTTCTCCACAGGCAGCCCGTATTTCTCAGATATCTGGAACACCAACAACAAAAAGGCCGATGAGCAGGGAGGGGAGCCCAGGCAGAGGTAGAGGAGAAAGTCGCGACTGTATTCTCCTGGACATTCGCCCAGGTACAGGGTGCTCTTCACTCATGATCAAATTCTCAAAACACTCATTTGTGAGCCTCACTCTTTGGATAAAATTTAGTGATGATTTAATGAATGATTTAAGTCATTCAACCCAAACTTTAGGCCTCTGGAGATTCCATCTAGATAACACTGTCATTTCCTATCAGTCAGAAAAAGATGGGGCTATGATCTGGAAAACGGTTTGCTCCCCAAAAGGTTCATGGTTTTGAATTTGGTCCCCAGTGTGACAGAGTTTGAGAGGTGAGACCTACTAGGCAATGACGGGATCGTGGAGGCAACATTCTCAGGAACAGATTAATGATGTCTTAGGAGACCCAGAAGCGCTAGCTCTTGTGAGAAAAGGGGGGTTGGTTCTTGTTATAAATGAGCGTTGCCCACGGCTCGCTCTCTGCAGCATCCGCCATCATCCTGTTTGCGTTGCTCATGTTCCAGCTACCAGAGTCATGAGTCAACACACCTCCATGTTTCTGTACACCGCCAGTCTCAGGAATGTCGGTTAGTAACCCACGAGACTAAGACGGAGGGGTGCTAACCAGGATTTTGGATTAAATAAATAAGCCATATGGAAACAATTTAACAGATTACTTAGGTCTTGTCTTACACTGAAATAAATTTCAGGTTGATCAAAGATTTACATGTGAAAGATGAAACCATTAAAGTACAAAAGAAACCAGAAATCCCCTCACTTTATAGTTACCACCTTAAAGTAAGGAAAATCTTTTTAAGCAAAATATAAAGCCTGAATAAAAATAATCAAGTTTAAAAGATAATAAACACAACATAGAATTAAAACTACCAATATAACGAAAATGACCTTAAAAAGCTGGCAGCAATTAAAATACTGTGCAATACTTTTGCAACAAATGCTAGACACAGAACTAACTTCATTAAGTTAAAAGATACTTTGGTGAGGTCAATAGGTGGTGTGGTTAAGCTGCTGGCCAGCTTTGCGGGTTTGAGTTCCTGGCCCAGCGGCCTGAGAATCACAGCAGGCACGTGTGCGTGCATGTCTGAAATCCTGACGGGAGACTGGAGAAGGGACTGTGGCATGGCCGTCCTCCCGGGGGTTATTTCTCAAATTTCTCACTTTCCCTCTCTGTCTCTCTGGTGAACACACATGCCCTATAACAAAAAAGAAAGAAAGAAAGAAAGAAAGAAAGAAAGAAAGAAAGAAAGAAAGAAAGAAAGAAAGAAAGAAAGAAGAAACTTCTATTTATACTTTTAATTGTTCAGAAAAAAAAGCTAAAAAAAAAAATAGATAATACAGTGTCAGCCAGAATATAAGAAACAACCCTTACATTCCATAGATGGGGGAGTAACAAGGAAATGTGCTGGACGCTATTGAAATTTTAAATGCATGCATCTCTGGAGCCGCATATTCCACATTTAGTGATCTGGTCTATGGAAATACACTCAGATGAATGTGAAATATACTCGGACGTATGCAGAGATTTCCAATGCATCGCTGTTCATAACGGAGAAAGCTGCATAACCAACATTCATTAAACACATTGTGATATTTTCACAGCTGAAAACCATCCAGTCAATAAATGTGAAAAGCGTACACGAATTCATTTTTTAAAATGTCCTTAACATACAAAAGGTCTTCAAAAATTAATGGGAAATATATATTTTGAAGAAACCATGCATGGATTTCCTTTTTTTTTTTTTGCACCAAAATAAACCCATACTTTAATAATTCCATCTTTTCACAAACTTTTTGAAGTCCCCTCGTATTAAAAGGGTAAAAAAATCAAGTGGAAAAGCAATGTTTATAATATAAACTCATTTGTGTTTCACTTTCAGAAATGTAAAATAGTAACAATTTCAGAGATGGATCTGCACAGACCTGCCTTAAACATCTTTCATGCCCTCACCATTCCCTAGTCAAACCTGCCTGCCATTCTGAGTCCAGGGGCTGGTGGAACTCACAGGCAGTTGGGGGTCTGGGGAGATTGGAACTGGAAAGTCTAGCACAGGCTAGAAAAAGGGGCTGAAGAACTCCAAAGAAAAAGTTGGAATAGATTTGGATCCTGGGAAGAGCTTTGTCCACAGGGAGTCATAGATTCTATTCACCCTCCCATCTCTCCCATCCCGCAGGAAGAACTGACCCCCTGCAATGAGCCCAGAAGGAGAACGAGTGAGCTGAGGGCTGGGAGGGCAAAAGGAGATTGGGTTCTGGACAAACCTTCACTTAAAGAGATCACCCCATAGCACTGAGCCCAAATGAGCCAAGGAAGAAAAATCACATCCCAAGGGCTCTTGGGAGCAGTGAAAAAAATCAACAGACTTTGTATTGGAGGCGTCCATGAACAGAACATGTAAGTGCCCTGAAGAAGAATGTATAAGAACACTTATGAAATATGCACAAGCAAAATTTTGACCTAAGAATATGACTATTGAACATGGAAAAATTTTAAGTTCTATGAATGAACTAAAGGAGAGATGGTCCAAACCAAATAGTGTCAGGAAAAATCAAGTCAAAAACAATTTCAAGGGACCAGCAGTTAGCATAATGGCTATGTCTCTGGACTCCCATGTAGTCACCCGTGGTTCATGTCTCGGACCTGGTGGCTTAAAACTCACGCCGGGAGTGTGTGCATGCATGCCCAAGATCCCGAGAGGAGAATGGAGAAGGGATTGCGGTGTGACCATCCCCCCTGGGGGGTGAGTTCTCGCTTTCTGTCTCTCTGTCTGTCTGGCGAGTGCACGTGCCCTATAGCGAAAACCTCTCAAAAAATATAAAAAAAAGAAAGAAAGAAACAATTTCAAAGGACAAAGCAAAAATACATAGTACATAGATAGCACAGTTGGAAATCATAAAGAAAAATGAAAGAACAGAGGCGGGATGTGTAAGATTTGAAAATCATCCTAGACAGAGGAAAAGAAACAGATGGAGGAGACAAAGTAATTTTTTAAATAACAGAAGAAAGACCCATGTTTTGGGACAGAAGGGTTATCAATGAAAAGAGATACGTACACTTAGCCACTCAAAAAAGTGTCAGATTTACAATGAAAAGAAAACATTCTGGGTCAGTCCTGTAACCTAGTGGTAAGGGAACCAGATCCCACAGGACTGACCACAGTTTGAGTCCCAGCCATGGTGACGAAAACCACACTGGGAGTGTGTGAGTGTATGCCCAAAATCCCTAAAGAAGAATGGAGGAGAAGGGATCGCAGTGTGATCATCTCCCCTGGTGGGTGCTTTCTCTTTGTCTCTGTCTCTCTCTGGCGAGCACATATGTCCTATAGTAAATGAAAAAAAGAAGAAAAGAATAAGCAAAGAATAAAGAATGCAATTCTCTGTAAGACAGTCCCAAATGGGAAGATCTCCAGTTCAAGTCCAGAGTCTTTCCTGAATACACTGCGTGAGCTGGCCGAGGCTGGAGCTGGATCGCATCGTCAAGACCATGCTGAGTATACTGTCTCTTGGTCTCTCTCTCTCCCCCCCTCTCACACTCATGGAAGAAATTAAAAAACACTTAGGTATGTATATACATGGAAAGCCCCACACATGATGATGATATTTTGAAATTATGAGTCGAAACAAAACATGGAAGCCAGGCTCACGGTGCCTTATTTGATGCTTAGCTGTTGTGGGGCCTTAAACTGTGGAGCACAAGGATCGTGTCTTAGGAGCAGCTTCTGCTTCCAGCTCAGGGGAGCATCTTCCCACATGAATTCCTGAGTTTCCGATGAAAACACCTGCAGCACTCTATGGCTCGATGCCTCCTCTAAAATATCACACTAGTGGGATATAACATAATGAGTTTTTGAACTCAAATAATTCTCTATCCTTGGACAATGGCTATAGAAAACGGAGTATTTGAGAAATGCACAAGCTGAAGAACAGAAGCTTGTATCTTTTCTAGCTCTGACTCCTATTCAAAACAGTGGCTTAGGAAGAAAGGCTGACATTACCCTGGGGCGTAGTACGTGCTGTAGCTAGGCAGAGTCTTAGATCTATGTGGTCTCGTTTAAACCTC